TAATATAAACTCTATTACTATATTACAAACTGTTCCCCCTGCCAAGTAACAGTAATAGTGTTTGATTTAAACACCTACAGCCCAACTAAACACTGAGATTGTAATGTACTATTGGACTTTAACTATTTGGAATATCTTATGCAGTGTTATTCAAAAGCACTGTATACAGAGTGGAGCAAGAGTAGGTTTGCAGGTGTTCCTATGGAAAATAATACAATAATTAGTAAATAATACAAGAATAAACTCTTTCATGTACTCACAACTGTAAACCTACTTTTGCCCCACCCTGTATGTTGAGCAGCTCACTGTAACTGCAAAATATTTATGACAGATTACCTTATTTCTCAGATGTGAAGGGTTCTGTCTAACCCATTTGCCTTTTATAAAGCTCTCGCAGTGTGCGAGTCAAATGGTCCTTCCAAGCTCAAAAGTCTGTCCTTACTAAAAAAAAAAAAAAAAAAAAAAAGTCATCTAAGTGTGTCTCTAAATTTCTTTGGTAAAAGTGATGGACTAAGTATTTTTAGAGGAAGGTAAAGTGAGGGTGAGTGTCAGATACTCCTTAAGATGCTCTCAGGTTAAAATGATTTTTTTAAAAAAATCATGTTTATTCTATTACAGTTGTCTCAATTTTACCCCTTTGCCCACCTCCACCCATCCCACCCTGCCCCCTCTCCCACAATTCCCACTCTGTTGTCCATGTCCATGGGTCATTCATACATGTTCTTTGTTTGGTCCCTTCTTCTTTCCACCATTGTTCTCCTTCCCCATCCCCTCTGATCACTTTCAGTCTGCTCCATGTTTCCTTGCCTGTGGTTTATTTTGTTCGTTAGTTTATTTTGTTGAACAGATTTCACTTATAAGTGAGATCATATGGTATTTGTCTTTCACCAAGTGGCTTATTTCACTTAGCATAATACTCTCCAGTTCCATCCATGATGTCACAAAATGTAGGAGATCCATCCTTCCTTCCTTCCTTCCTTCCTTCCTTCCTTCCTTCCTTCCTTCCTTCCTTCCTTCCTTCCTTCCTTCCTTCCTTCCTTCCTTCCCTCCCTCCTTCCCTCCTTCCCTCCCTTAATGCAGATTGATTCTATTTATTTACTTTTTCAAATGTCAAGATCCATTTTAAAATATTAAAAAATGTAAATCCATTATAAAGTCTCAGCAATTAAAACATGACACCAGCACAGAAATAATCAAGTAGGTCAATGAAATAAAAGGAGCATTATAGAAACAAATGTATGTATAACTAATGATGTAATATATGCTTAAATTGATATTTGAAATCAATGGGGAAAATAAGGCTTATTCAACAAATAAGATGCACAGACCACTATTACTTGAAATAAATATAGAGCCCTATTTCACACCTTATACAAGAAATATTCAGGTGAGTTAAAAATCAGTATGTAAAATCTAAGGAGTTTCTGGAGAAAATTCAAAATAATATTTTTCTTACCCAGAAATAATATATTCAAACACAGAAGCTATAAAGTAAAATATTGACAATATGACTATATTAAACATTTAAGACTATATAGTAATACACCTATTAAAAAAGTTAAAGGACAAGTAATAGAATAGAAAAGTATCTGCAACACATCTAAAATGGTTAGTAGGTTTTTTTGTCTTTTTAGGGCAAAAATTCTACAAACCTTTAAACAAAAAATAGATAAAGAATACCAAGAAGTCATTGAAAACTTTTTAAAAATATTAAAAATAGTCAAGAAACATACAAAAACAGGTTTAGTTTCAACAAAGGAACAATTAACATAACACATCATTGTCACAATCAGACTAATACGTATTAAAAAATATTGGTAATATCAAGTATTGGTGATTGTGAAAGGAACTGGGTATTCACAGACTCTTTTTCTTCATCTTCTTTAGCATATTTTGCAATGCTGATTTGGTGGAGATGCATTCTTTTAGCCTTCTTTGGTCCGGGAAACTCCTTATTTCACCTTCCATTTTAATTGAGAGCCTTGCTGGGTAGAGCAGTCTTGGTTGCAGGCCTTTGCTTTTCATGACTTGGAATATTTCTTGCCATTCCCTTCTGGCTTGTAGTGTTTCTGTTGAGAAGTCAGCTGTTAGCCATATTGGGGCTCTCTTATAAATTACTCTTTCTCCCTTGCTTCCTTTAGGATTCTCTGTCTTCGGTATTGGCCATTTTCATGGTGATGTGTCTTGGAGTGGGCCTAATTGGATTCCTCTTGAGTGGGACCCTCCGTGTTCACTGGACTTGTGTGACTTTTTCTCTCCATAAATTAGGTAAGTTTTCCATCATTACTTTTTCAAACGGGTTCTCTATCCTTTCCTCTTCTCCTTCTGGTATCTCTATTATATGGGCACTATTACATTTCAGGTTGTCTTGCATTTCTCTCAATGCCTCTTCATTCTCTTTGAGTCTGTTTTCATTTTCTTGCTCTTTCTGGGTGCTCTTTTTCTACCTTATCCTCCAGCTCGCTGATTCGATACTCTGCTTCATCTAGCCTACATTTGATTCCTTTCACTGCTTTCTCCAATTCAGAAATTTTATTCATTTCCTCTTGTCTCTCATTGATAGTTTCTATGTCCTTTTTCATGCTGATATAGTTTGCAGTAAGTTCCTCGGTTTCCATGTAGCTTTTGGTAATTCTCTCTGAGCTCACTGAGCTTCCTTATAACTGTTGTTTTGTACTCAATATATATTTGAGTTGCCTCTATTTCATTTAGTTCCTTTTCTGGGGATTCCTCCTTTCCCCTTAACTGGGGGGTGTTTCTTTGTCTTCCCATTATTTCTGGGGCTCTTCCCTTTTGCTTCTGCTTTAAATTTATCTGTTTTGATTTCCCGACTTTGTGGTGTGAACTTCTATCACAGGAAACCACTGTTTTTTTTCTCTCTCTGGATCTGGCTCTGATGATGTCAGATGCTGACCCTGTCAGAACCTACTGTCTGTGGCTGTCTCCTTCAGCTATTAATCTAGTACCTCTGCATTCAGCAGTCTGGTTTAGAGACACCACAGGACGGGGCAGAGTCTCTCCTATGGGCAGGGTTATTGGGTCTTCCCATGCTGCTGTTCTTCAGGGGTGGTCTCCCTGAGCAAGATGGCTGCTGCCACATGGGGGAGGAGTCAGTACCAGGATCCCACCATTCACTCTCTCCTTTCTCTCCCCAAAGCCTCCGTCTCTAGTCTCTTCTCAAGTGTCTCTAGACCAACCTGTGCAGCCCTTTAGCCAGGCATCTACTATCTGTGGCTGCCATTCTGCACTAAGCAGATCAGCTTAGAGACAGCACAGGGCAAGGCTACTGGGTCCTCTCATGCTGTTGCTGCTCAGGGGAGTGGTCTGCCTAAGCAAGATGGCTGCTGTCATATGGGGGAGGATTCAGCACTGGGATCCCCTGCCCACTCTCTCAGTTCTCTCCTCAAAGCCTCCTTCCACAGTCTCTCCTCAGGTGTATCCAGCCCACTCTTTCCCCCGGCTTTTGTAGGAGACCAGGGTAAGTGGCTGCAAATAAAAATGTATGTGTTGGCCCTTTAAACAGCTCTTTGCATCTTTGCTCTGGCAGAGAGCAACCCTGCCACCTTTCACAATTTGGCTGTTATCTGTGTACTTTTTGGGCTCTGGTGCTGTAGGCTGGAGATGCCTGCTTATGGTTTAGACCTCACTCTTCTCAGGGAGACCCAACTGGTTGTTTCAATATCCTTCTGGTGCTACCACCCACGGATGTCCTGCCCACCTTCTTGAGTCTCTATTGCACTCTTTACCACTTAGGTTGTGCTAAAGTTGATTCGTTTGTCTCCAAGGTTACAAGGCTCCTCTCTCGCTACTGTTCAGTTGTTTGTTCCAGGTAATTTCTCCACAATTTAGTTGTAATTCCAGGTTCTTCCTGGGAGGAGGTCATTGTGACTTCCACTCACTCCTCTGCCACCTTGGTTCTCAAGTTAAAACCATTTTTTAAAAATAATGTCCTGCCAAACACCATCACTGGAAGACTTTAAAGAGCTCAATCCTGTTTTGGGAAAGTTTGGTAACACTTCTGGATGATGAAAGTGCTTACTTTCGATAAGTATTTTATATCCATTTTAATGTGCCTTGGGACAAAAATTATGTAGACTTAACTAAGAATGGAAGTTGTATAACTGTCATCCAAACTAACAAGACAGACTGTTTGTAAGTGTGCCAATTATATTTCAACATTTCTGTAAAGGTGATTATGAGGAATTTCAAAGGGGATTTTACAAGGTGTGTGACAAAGAGATTACTGAATTTTTCTTTTCCATCCTGAAGAACTAAAGGATTATTGAAAATACAAATATGACTGGGAAACATTTCAAAAGAATGTACATTATGATCAAATATATGACATTTCACATACCACCATAGTAAGTTTTTGGAAGTCTTTACACAAACTGACTTTAGAGAAAAATAAAATTCCTTGCATTTCTTACAGGAAATAACAGAATTCAAGTAAAAGGTATAAAGAACAGGAAAATAACATTTTGCTGTCCTGAAAGACACTTAAGATTTTGCTTTAAATTATTAAATAAAGAAATGTAGAGGCAGAAAGACATGAAGGCAAATTGTTGACAATTACTGAACCCAGAGGATGATTTTATGAAGTATATGTTCTTTATTTCTGTACATGTTTACAAAGTTTCAAGTTAAAGTTTACAATGAAAGGCAATGTTTTCTTGGCCACTTGAGACCTCATTAACAAATGCACATAAAAGCTTAAGGAAGTTACAACTTTAGAAAAATAAAATACACTAAAACAAATAGGCCAAAGTATGAAACAGTGGTTCTAGTGGGGAAATGGGAACTGATTCCTTCATTCAAGTATTCCACTTTTCATCATCTCCTTTCCCCCACCCCAAAACACATTGATTTTATTGGTGTCTGTGGAATGTGCGGGCGTACATGTGTAAACACTGTTAAAATGAAAATAAAGGAAGGTGGTTTCAAGCTTAAAATAGAACATTAAGTTGTTTAAAAGGAATTAATAATAGCAAAGGACTTACCTGCTCTTCTCTCTTCTGCTTACGTAACTGTAGTCCTTCTTCTTCCCTCCTCCTGCGCATCTCATCAGGATTCAGGGACTTATTTTTGTAACTTTTCAGGCGAAAGTTTTCTTTTCCTGGGGTAGTCATGTTTTCTACAAAAATAAGAGAGGAAAGAAACAGATGAGCTTAGCTTACTGTAAAGAGCTCTGTTGTTCTAATAGTTCTGCCTTTAATATGCATACATGCCCAGGTCCACCACACAGGGATACCAGAAATGATTCCTTTTCTTAACAGCTTTATTAAAGTATATGATTCATTGGTTTTTAGTATATTCACAGCTACGTGCAAACATCACCACAGTCAACTTTTAAATACATCCTCATCGCTTCAAGCTATCACTCCTATTATTGACATTTCATATGAATCATATGTGATCTTGTATGCCTGGCTTCTTTTACTTAGCATGTTATTTTCAAGGTTCATCCATGTTGCAGCACACATCAGTATTTTACTCCTTTTTATAGTGGAAAAATATCCCACCGTATTAACATACTCCATTATAATTACCTGCTTATCAAGTGATGGACATTTAGGTTCCTTTTACTTTTTGACTATTACGAATAACATTTGTATAATTATTTGTGGATACGTTTTTATATAGTCATGTTTTCATCCTCTTAGGTATATATACCTATGAATGGAACTGCTGGGTGTGTTTAATCAAAACTGCCGAACTATTTTTCCAAAGTGGCTGTGCCATTTTATATTCCTACTAGCAGTATACAAGGGTTGACAATTTCCCCACATCCTCACCAAAACTTGACTTCTAGCCCTCCTAGTGGGCTAGATGTCTCTTCACATATCTATTTCCCAGCTGTATATCCTCCATTAAAAAAATGTCTATGCAGGTTCTTTGTGGGTGAGAAGCAGGGCCAGGACCAGAAAAAAAAATTCTTTGACCATTTTTAAACTGGGTTGTCTTTTTATCACTGCATTGCAAGAGGCCTTTATATATTCTAAATAGACCTTTATTAGATATGATTTTTTATTATTTTCTTCCATTCTATTGGTTGTCTTTTTCACTTTCTTGATGGGTCCTTTGAAACACAAAAGATTTTAATTTTCATGAAGTCAAAATTAACCTATTTTTTCTTTTGTTGCTCATACTTTTAGTGTCATAATTAGGGATTCTTTACCTTACTTTCCTTCTTAGAGTTTTAAAGTTTTAGCTCTTACACATATGTCTGTCATCCATTTTCAGTTAGTTTTTCTTTATGACATGAGGTAAGGGCCCAACTACCTTCTTTTGCATATGGCTACCCAGTTATCCTAGCATTTGTGGAAAAGGCTACTCTTTATTGAATGGCCGTAATACTTGTTGAAGTCAGTTAACCATAGTTTCACTTCTCCATTCTCAATTCTATTCCATTGATCGCCATGTGTATCCTGATGCCAACTTCCCACAGTCTTGATTACCATTTTTGAAATGTTTTGAAATCATGAAGTGTAACTCCTATTTTATTCTTTTCAAAATGTATTGGCTCTTCTGGATACTTTATAATTCTACATGAATTTCAGAATCAGTTTATCAATTTCTACAAAGAAGTCAGCTACCAATAATTCTGGTATGGACTGCAATGAACTGGAGATCAATTTGAGGAGTAATGTCACCTTAATGTTAAGTCTACCAATCCACAAATATGGGATGTTTTCTATTTACTTAGATCTTTTAAATTTCTTTCAACAATGTTTTGTAGTTTTCAGAGTTTCACATTTCTTATTAAATTCATTCTTAGGTATTAATCTTTATGATGCTATGGTAAATGGAATTTTCTTCTTAATTTTCACTTCTGAATTGTTCATTACAAGTCTATACAAATATGACCGACTTTTGTGTATTGATTTCATATCCTGCAACATTGCTCAACTTGCTTATAAGTTCTAATACTTTTTTTAGAGGAATCCTTAGGATTGTTCGCAAAACAAGCTCATGTCATCTGCCAGAGTTTTGCTTCTTTCTTTCCAATCTTAATGCCTGTATTTTCCTTGCGTAATTACCATGTTGAGAGTCTCCAATACAATGTCAAATAGAAGTGAAGACAACAGACAGTCGTGGCGTAATCCTAATCTTACGGGTATTCAAGTCTTTCACCATTAAGTATCATGTTATGTTACCTTTGGACTTTTCACAGATGCCCTTTATTATGTTACAAAAGCTCCCTTCTGTTCCTAGTTTTTTGAATGATTTTATCATTTCTGCATCTACTGCGATGACAATATGACTTTGGTTTTTTATTTTACTAATATAAAAACCAAATGTGACTTTGGTTTTTTATTTTACTAATGTAAAGTAGTTGGTGAACTTTACACCAACCTTGCATTTCCAGCATAAAGAGCATTTGGTCACAATGTACCAATTTTCATATGCTGTTAAGTTTAGTTTGTATTTTGTTCAGGATTTTGTCTTTATATTCACAAGAGATACTGGCCTGTAGTTTTCTTGTAATGTCTTTGATTTTAGAATAATACTACCTTCATAAATTGGGAAGTGTTCCCCTTCTCAATTTTTGGGAAGAGTTTGTGAAGAAACAGTACTAACTCTTCCTTAAATGTTTAACAGAACTCAGCAGTGAAGTCATATAGGCTGACAACACTTTGTAGGTAATTTTGATTAATTTCTTCACCTGTTACAGGTCTATTCAGATTGCCTATTTCTTGTCAGTTTCAGAAGTTTTCATGTTTCTAAAAAATTGTCCATTTTATCTAAGCCATGTAATTCATTGATATACAGTTGTTCAAAGTATTCTTTTATAATCCTTTAAACTTTTGAAAGGTCAGTGGTAATGTTTGCCCATTTCTGATTCTAGCAATTTCAGTCTTCCTTCTTTTTTTCTATATCAATCTATCTAAAGTTTTACCAATTTTGTTGACCTTTTCAAAGTACAGTGGTTCCTCAGTACTCCTTAATTCGTTCCGCAACTTGAGACGAGCACAGAAACTGACAAGTACCAAACAATGAAGCATTTTCTCTTGTAGGGTGGTGTCATGACCCATACAAGTTCTAACAAGTGTGATGAGTTCCAAACAAGCACCAAGTGCTAAAACATCTTCTTCTTGTCAAAATGTGATGCGTACAGGTTTTGATGAGTTCTGAAGCTGACACGTACCAAGGTATGACTGTACCAGTTTTTGGTTTTCTTAATCTTCTCTATTGCTTTTCAATTCTCTAGTTCACCAACTTCTACTATAATCTTTATTATATCCTTCTGTTTGCTTTAAATTTACTTTGCTCTTCTTTTTCTAGTGACTTAAGGTGGAAGGTTAGGTTACTGATTCAATCTTTTTTTAAAAAACTTGATTCTAGAAACAGGAAAGGGAGGGAGCGGGAGGGAGAAGACAACATCGATTTGTTGTTCCATCTATTTATGCATTCATTGGTTGCCCCTTGTATGTGTGCTGACCAAAGCTCGAACTCTGAATCTTGGCATATCAGGACAACACCCCAACCAACTGAGCTTACCCAGCCAGGGCCCTTCTTTCTTAATACAGGAATTTATTGCTGGAAGTTTCCTCTTAGCACTGCTTTAACTGTATCCCGTAAGTTTTTTTAGGTGGTAACTTTATTTTATCTCAAAGTATTTTCTGGTTTCCCTTTTGATTTCTTCTCCAACCAACTAGTTATTCAGTAATATGTACTTTCATTTTCACATATTTGTGATTTGTCCAAATTTTCTGTTGATTTCTAATTTCTTTACATTGTGATTAGAGAGCGTCCTTTGTTATGACATTAATCCTTTTAAATGTACTTGGGTTTCGTTTGTGGCCTAGCACATGGTCTATCCTGGAAAATGTCCCATGTGCATGTAACAATATACGGAGTGGGCAAACATTGGTTTATAGTTGTAAACATATTCAAGTTTATTCTTACATTATTTATTATTGTATTATTTGTATTACAACTGTAAACCTACTCTTGTCCACCCCTGCATATTTTGCTGTTGCGGCTGGTGTGGTCTATAGATGCCTGCTGGGTCTATTTAGTTTACACTGCTGTTTCCTTGTGACTGTTTTGTCCATTTTTGAAAGTGGAATAGTAAATTTCCCAACTATTACTGTTGAATTGTCTATTTCTCTCTCCACTTGCCAGCTTTTGCTTCCTATATTCTGGTGCTGTTTATAAAACTGTTTTATCTCTCTAGTGGAAGACCCCTTCCCCATTATAAAATGTCCCTCTTTATCTCTAGAAACATTTTTTAGTCTTTTTATTCTGATAATAGTATAGCCAATCCAGCTTTTTTTTTTTTTTTTTTTTTTTAAGATTTTATTTCTTTTTAGAGAAGGGAGGGGAGGAAAAAAGGGAGAGAAATAACAATGTGTGGTTGCACCTCGCATACCCCCTACTGGGGACCTGGCCTGCAACCCAGGCATGTGCCTTACACTGGGAACTGAACCAGCGACCCTTTGGTTCGCAGGCTGGCACTCAGTCCACTGAGGTACCAGCTGGAGTACCACTCCAGTTTTCTTATTTGCATGGTATTTATTTGTCAATCCTTATACTTTATATATATTATCTTTAAACTTAAAATGTTTCTTGTACAGAGCATATAGTTGGACCCAGTCTAACAATCTCTTTTTAAATTTAATTGTTTAATCAACTCATATTTAATGTTGCTATTGATAGAGTTGGATTTGACAGCTTTTCATTTTTTGTTTTCATGTGCCTCATTTTTTTTTTCTTTAGAACTCATTCACTGCTTTCTTTTGCATTTAGTAAAAATTTCCAAATGAAGCACTTTAATTTCCTTAGTAACTTTTTCACTCTATATTTGTTTTTGTCACTACTGGTTGTTCTAGGGCAGCAATTTTCAACGGTGTGCTATGTCACAGTGGTGTGCCACAAGAATTTAAGACATGCAATACCTGACTATATTTAGTCAGGGATACTGAAGTTTTTTCCCTTAGATTGTCAAGTTAAAAAATGACAAGGGCCAACACAACAATGGCTGGTCCAGTGTATATGAATAATTATTATACCTATTTTTGTCAGGTTGGCAAAAATAGTATGTTTTGATGTACTACAGAATTTTACTTATTTAGGTGGGCCATGAAATGAAAATGGTTGAAAATCACTGCTACAGGATTTACTACATAC